TTTTTTTTCAACTGTAAAAGAACCTACTCAAAACACCATCAGGACAAAGCTGCAGCAATTCGTGTTCTTGAGTCCTAAATCTGTTTATGAGAAAACAGCACTCAAGGATTCCTCAGACCCAACAAACACATGTTACAGCCCCAGGCTGCCTCACACCTGCCAACCACACCCAACACTGTAAAGGAACTTGCGGAAATGCCTTGGCAAGACGAGATCATTTGTTTCAGGAAAAAGACAGTTTATCCTATGAAGATTACCTCTCCTAAACAGCAAGCCCCTTCGCAAAAATCTTTTTGCAGTCAAATTTTAGTTGTGTAAACATACAGCTCAATAGTCTGCAGCCTGTAGTGCAAATGAAGGTAAAGATGCCTCTTTCATTGCTCTAATTCAGTTTGGATTAAAACTAAAAAAAAAATCAGGGGCCTGAGGTTAAGATGCAGCACAATGAAGCTATCCACAGCCACTGCAACACGAGTTCAGTCCCCAGCCAGGAGCAGCAGACCTCTCCTGTCTTGCCCACTGCTTCCCTCAACAGTGTATTTCAGTCAAGCCACCTGTTCTGCTCCCCACTCTGTCTCTGGTGAATCCTCTCACCCAGCACCTCTGGTCTGTACCCCAGTTCTTGTATCCATAATTAAATAAATCTTAAAAAAAAAATCAGGTATTGGGCCTCCCCGGTGGCGCAGCGGTTGAGCGCTGGGTTGCGAAGCTGCCCGCGGCCTCTGCAGCGCCGGTTCGATCCCCGGCTGCTCCCCGGCCACCAGAGGAGGGTCCCACATGGCGCGCAGACCTCTCCTGCCTCCTGCTGCTCCCCTCAGCAGTGTACTTCGGTCCTTCTGCCTGCTCTGCTCCCCGCTCTGGCTCTGGTGAATTCTCTCCCCCTCCCGCGCTTCTGACTGTACCCAGTGCATGTGTAAACAGAACAAACAAATAAATAAATAAACATGCCTCTTAAAAAAAAAAAAAAATCAGGTATTTTGAAAGCAACAGGGAGCCAAGTACAAACAAATGGCCTAATGGATCTTACTTAGTCCTAGATGTAGTTTGTTTTTTTTTTTTTTAAAGATTAATTTATTTATTTATACATACAAGCACTGGGTACAGTCAGAAGTGTGAGAGGGTAAGAGAATTCACCAGAGCCAGAGCGGGGAGCAGAGCAGGCAGAGGGACTGAGGTACACTGCTGGGGGGAGCAGTGGGCGGCGGGGGAGGTCTGCGCGCCATGTGGGACCCTCCTCTGGTGGCCGGGGAGCAGCCGGGGATTGAACTGGCACTGCAGAGGCTGTAGGCAGCTTCGCAACCCAGCGCTCAACCGCTGCGCCACTGGGGAGGCCCCCCTAGATGTAGTTTTTGCCGTACATCACTTGATGGGGTGTTTCAAGCTGGCCTTCAAGAGCAGTTTCTGCTTTGAGTTCATGTAGATTGGTCAGGAAATCCCTTAATTCTATTTCTTCCCCTTGAAGCTTTAAAAAGGAGAATTTTTAATTATATATGGGAGAGCGTAGCGAGAATTATTCTCTGTAAAATTTTAATATAGAAAAAGATTCATATGAATTTGAGGACACACAAGATTTACATCAAACTCCAAAAATACATCTTACTTCCTATTTATAAATCAAGTCATATAAAATGACCTACTTAAACGCAAGCTTATTTTTTTTACTCTCTATAGGTTTGTAACTTCATAATCACTCGAAGACATCCCCATTTGTCCTAATGTTTAAAAAAAGGAAAATTGTGATTTCCAAATGTGAATAACCCAGTTCAAGATTTTGTACTATGTAGTTTCTAAGTTTAAAATGCCCGTGCTATTCAATCCTTAAGCAGAACCCACCAAGGAAAAAATAAAAGCATGTAACTTAAGAACTTTTAAAATGCTTCCCTTTATTTTCATTGCCAAAATGATACAACCTAAATATGTCAAATGAGTGATTCCCTTTATAATCCAATCATGGAAAATTAATTTATCCAAGAAAGTATCTTATTTCTGTACTGCTCCAAAAATAAAAATGTTTGGAGAGCCAAGTAAGGGATCAGGAGAAAAAAATAATAAAAAACCAAAATGAACAGGCAACTATAAATCAGAGACATTCTGCAGGGGAGGGGGAGGCAGAGGGATTAAAACAGGGAAGAGCACAACGGACGATGGGTGACAGTATACGAGTGAATTGGTGGTAGGAATTTTACAGAAACTCTATCTGAGAAAGCAAATATTGTACAAAAGTGAACAATGATGTAATATATATATAAATTTAATAAAAATGTTTAGGAGGTTTTATTTTGCAGTCATGAAACATTAAATGGTTTATCTATCACCGCCTTTCTACCCCAGAGCTTCTCACAGGCCATCTTCAGAAGGGGAAGGGATGGAACACAAGGGCAAACCTTTAGCAAAGTATGTGATTAAAAAGCTAATGCGGGGCCTCCCCGGTGGCGCAGCGGTTGAGCGCTGGGGTGCGAAGCTGCCCGCAGCCTCTGCAGCGCCAGTTTAATCCCCGGCTGCTCCCCGGCCACCGGAGGTGGGTCCCACATGGCGGGCAGACCTCTCCTGCCACCCGCTGCTCCCCTCAGCAGTGTACTTCGGTCCTTCTGCCTGCTGTGCTCCCAGCTCTGGCTCTGGTGAATTCTCTCACCCTCCGTGCTTCTGACTGTACCCAGTGCTTGTGTAAATAAATAAATAAATAAATCTTTAAAAAATAAAAATAAAAATAAAAAGCTAATGCAGAGGAAAAAGTTATCATGAACTGTTTCAGAAGCTGCTTTTAAAAAAATACCCTATTCTAATATGAATACATGTCAAATGTATTGGTTAAGCATTGATGCTAACTAGGGAATTCCATATTTGTGCTTTGCAATTGGTTGAAAATTTATTCCATTCCAAAGAAGTAGAATTAGTTTAAGACCAAAACAAAAAAGACAGCGCCCCACTCCCCACGGCGGATGTAGGTGGTGGGGGAAGGGTTCTATGAGAAAACACTTCCCATTTTAAACCTTCAAATGTGTCCTTTTCTCATTTCAAGATGCACCCGTCAGTGACCCTAAGCAGAGTGTCCAGTAACCAGGGCTTTAACTGCCAGGCAAGATGGAGATTGTTTTTCACAAGGACTCTTACTTTGGGACTCTGAGCACCACCCCAAAAGATCACAATACACTGTTTCATTACATCCTGGGAGGAAAGCAAGAGTTGAGTTCCAACCTAGCCCTACATTTTCTTTTTCAAGCCCTGCTTCCAGGCGTCTCAATCAGTAACCTACTTCAGTGCTAGACAACTTTTAAGTATTAGAAGCGCAGCATTGATAAAGACAAGGTGAGCCAAGACTACACACGTAAAATAAGACATTTATTATGCCGAAGGGCAATTTTATTTTTCATTTTCCCAAAACACTAAAATAGCACATAGCATAGTAATTTAGCACACAATATAAACTGATATTTGCAATCAATAAATCCAGAAAATGGTTGTTTGAAGCCTCACTCTGGGACTCCTTAAAACTTATACTCTTAAATGACCTTTATCAAAGTTCTCAACAACAAAAGGAGTTACCTCAGAAAAATCCTAGTGTAAAAGATACCTCAATTCCTAGAAATGGGAAATTTTCTATAATGGAAATACTTGATTTGCTTATCACTGAACTACAGCAAATAGTCTCAAGCTCATTTTTATTTCGGGTAACACTGCAAAGGTTCCTAGTCTGCAAAAGGATTATTCTATAAAGTTAAGTTTAATATTGCAACTTTCACCATTGGGCCTCCATTTGAATTGCATTTCAAGTGGAAAGAAAAATAAAATTTTGCTGCAGACCAAAATTATCCTACAAAATGTAGAAACAGTAACAGTTTACCATGTACTCAGCAAGGCTTAAGCACAACTGCAGAAGGGCTGATTCCTATCAGTCTCCACTTCCGTTAGATGATCAGAGACAGTCTGGACAGACAGATGCTATCTGGGACAGTAGCCCTTTAGAATCAATGTGGAAGGTACATGAAGAACGTTATGTTAACTCTTTATGTTCTAATCTGATGTTTACATAGGATCAATATTCTCCTTGAAATGATTACTCAATCCTGAATATCTTTCAAGCACAATCTAAAAAACATGCTTAGGAATTTCCTTCCACATCAACCAGCTTTCCAGGAGGTTCAATTCCACCTAAGTTTGTCTGGTCACACAAATCAAAGCAGGAACTTCATGACTGCACTGTTTGTGCCCAGACCTGGCGTGAAAGAACTCATCCTAAACTTTTAAAATTAATCTCACTGTTTTCATTGTTCTGCTTGTACCTTAACTATGGCATAATGGATCTGTTAGTTCAAAAGCTTGTAGAGCCAGTAACCCCAGTGTTATCTGCAGATCATTTGAGGTACTTTTTACACTTGAGAGTATTTGCTCATATCCTATTGTTTGCTCTAGAAACATGGGCTTTGAATGGCTAAGGAAAACATGTTTTGTCTCATCATTCAGGAATACTTTGGGAAGTGAGTGCAGTGGTGTAGACAGGACAGAATGCAGGCAAAATGGTTTTAACTCAGAGCCTAGACCCTCGGGAAGAGCACTTGGTGGTTCATCCTTAGAAGTCCCCACTTCGGACTGCATTTGAGCGTACAGTAGTCCTGACCCCCACCAGGGCTCTCCTTTGCAGCACTGTCCTCTGTGGCTGTCAGTGACACTGGGGCCTCCTTCAAGCCAGTCCCTCACCACAGTTTCCCCACCACCACAAGACACCCCAGCAAAACGCTCTTCTGCAGGAGCAGAGAACAGATCCGCAGTCTTGCTCTGAACCGCTGCAGAAGCCGATTTTATTGATTCTCTCAAATACGGGAGCACTTTGTTGACACTGTGAAGCAAGAGGCTGACCTCTCTCAGGCCATTTTTCATTTCCAATGATAACTCCTCATTTGGTGAATTTCCATTGACATCAACCGCAGGACTATTCATCCAGCAAGGTGTGTCTGGTGGACAAGGATCTTCCTTTGAGTTCTTTTAAGTCTACATAATAGTTTGTCCAAATCATCTCCCTCTCCCTTCACTTCTGCAGGGCAGGTGCGGAGAGTCCCTCTTCTGTCCCTCATGCTGTGTGTCCTCTGATGCGCTGAGCCTGTGTCAGTCAGCAAATGCCTTCAATGGATCTCAATGTGAACCTGGAGAAGATCATCAAAGTGTTATAATGAAGACAGAGTCTTGAGAGACTGTATACACCTGATAATTCCTAACAGTCGACATTTTGATGGAAAATAGGATGACACCTAACAATTAGAAACCAAAACAAGGGCCTCCCTGGTGGCACAGGGGTTAAGTATCAGCGCTATCCCACTATCACCCATTGCTGCAACCTGTGTTCGATCCCCAGCCAGGGAGCTGACCCACATGGCACAGCAGACCTCTCCTGGCTCACCCACTGCTCCCCTTAGCAGTGTATTTCAGTAGATCCGTCTGTTCTGCTTCCCACTCTCTCTCTCTCACCGCCCCACCCCCACCGCTGGCATACACCCCAGTTCTTGTATGCATAAATAAATAAAAATATATTTTTTAAAAAAGGACACCAAAACAAAAAAGAGCAGTACTTTGTAAATGGAGTATTTCCTCAAACTGCTTTAAAATAAGAAAAATATACATTGAGGCTTTGTACTTTTCATGGAAATATCATTTGCATAGGTTCAATAAAAATCTGCTTTCCTTAAAAAAAAATCTGTCCTCCTCTTAACCAGAATAGCATTGGATGACTCAATTATGCAAACAAAGGATCACCCAAAAGCTCCTACCAGAGAATGGCTGCCAGTGACTTGAGTAAGGCAAACCACTTCTAAGGCATCTAGGCTGATTTTACTTACAGACCCAAGGTCTACAAAGCCCTTCCAGGAAAACCAGGCCAGAGAGAAAGCCTGGCACACAAACTTCCAGCCTGAAGGTGGAAACTGGCAGGTCAGGAAACAGCAAATTCTGAAACCTCAATATGAGAAAATTCACCCAGATTTATAGGCACTACAAGTAAAAATATGGCAGGGAAAGTTTTTTGGATTTAGTTCTCTGCTCTCACACTAAGCAAATGAAAGTGGCTTTTAAAAGTCCAATCTGAGGGGCCTCCCCGGTGGCACAGCGGTTGAGCGCTGGGTTGCGAAGCTGCCCGCGGCCTCTGCGGCGTCGGTTCGATCCCCGGCTGCTCCCCGGCCACCAGAGGAGGGTCCCACGTGGCGCGCAGACCTCTCCTGCCGCCCGCTGCTCCCCTCAGCAGTGTACTTCAGTCCTTCTGCCTGTTCTGCTCCCTGCTCTGGCTCTGGTGAATTCTCTCACCCTCCCGTGCTTCTGACTGTACCCAGTGCATGTATAAACAAAACAAACAAACAAACAAATTAAAAAAAAAAAAAAAGAGTATTTAAAAAAAAATAAAATAAAATAAAAGTCCAATCTGAGAGACCTTATGAAAACTTTTGGACAGAAGCTCATCTGTGGTATCAGCAGTTGTTCAATACAAAGCAGATGTTAGCACTATTCCTGCACTGCAACCAAACGAGACCAGCCTTTTTCTATGACCAAGAATAATCACTCTGTGATATTATCATGTTCCAAATGGAGATATCAGGAGAAACTGTCAAAAGCTTTGAATTAGGGCCTCCCTGTGGTGCAGGGGGTTAAGATGCAACCTATGAAGCTATCCGCAGTCATTGCAGCATGAGTTCGATCCCTGGCCAGGGAGCAACCCACATGGCACAGCAGACCTCTCCTGACTCGCCCGCTGCTCCCCTCAGCAGTGTATTTCAGTTGATCTACCTGTTCTGTTCCCCACTCTGTCTCTGGTGAATCCTCTCACCCCCCACACTTCTGGCCTGTACCCCAGTTCTTGTATGCATAAATAAATTAAAAAAAAAAAACTTCGAATAAGACAAAATAATCCCACTGGATGTGTTACCAAGTTATCTAATCTTCAGGGCTCTACATTGTCTTCGATGCTCTACAACTCTGCAAGTTGTAGAAAACTTAAAGAGTAAGGCAATGCCTTCTTATCCAGAGATACAAACCCTAATTGTGTCTGGAGGAAAGCAATGACCTGTGGACACAGACCAGTTCTATATCAACTTGGAAATTCACTTCAGCAGTCCTCATTACAGCTGTATGTGTATGTATATCCTGTCTAAATTCTCCTTTAAATGGACTGTGACATCTCACTAGTTCTCTAATGACTGGCCAGGTTAAAAAAAAAAAAAGCTTTGGGCCTACCTGGTGGTGCAAGGGGTTAAGCACTGCACAATGAAGCAGTCCACAGCCTCTGCAGCATGAGTTCGATCCCCGACCGGCTAGGGAGAAACCCACATGGCACAGCAGACCTCTCCTGACTCGCCCGCTGCTCCCCTCAGCAGTGTATTTCAGTCAGTCTGCATGTTCTGTTCCCCACTCTATCTCTGGTGGATCCTCTCACCAGCCCTGCATCTCTGGCCCAGCTCTTGTATGCATAAATAAATAAATCTTTAAAAAAAAATTTAAAAATTTAAAAATTTAAAAAAAGCTTTAACACCTATTCCTTTAAAAAAACAACTATACTCCCAAAACATTGAAAAGGGAAAAATAAATACATAAGTCATATTTAGTTATTTTTCTGAGTTCTGCCTAAGGAACTGCAATCTAAAATGCACTACCTCTCCTGGGAAAAGGAAGGAATGGCAATGCGGTGCATGAGATGGAAGCTGAAACAAAGAACAGAGATCATATCTTCCAGTTGGACAAAGACAAAAACTAAAAATCAAGAATCAAAAAGCAAAATCTTAAGCATTCAATTTGGAGGCAGAAGTGAACATTCACACAACCAACTGTGCTGCAAGTGAGGGCTATGAGGCTGGAGAAAAGGGAGCAGGAAACTGCTGTTTCTCTTAACTAACCTTGTGGGGGCAAGAGACACTAAGCTATGTGACTATATAGGTTAAATTTAAAAAATTTTAAAGAAAGCACAGTGGGGAGAAAATAAAGCAATTTTTTGTAACACTGGAAGTAGAGGCAGAGGCTAGGCAGCTGGAAGTAGAGCTGGAAGTAGAGGCAGAGGCTGTGGAGACAGGCAGGGACCAGGGAGAGGCACAGCGTGCTGCCAGCCACCTGGAAGGCAGGGGTGGAGTGTCACAGACCAACTTTCAGCTGGATTTGCACTTCAGGAGAATTACTCTGGCGGCAGTGAGGTGACTAGACTGGGAAGGAATCACTTTGGACAGACCAGTTAAGAGGCGATTCCATCAAGATAGGGAGAAAATGAAGAAGTGGGCCGGGACAGCAGAGAGGAGAGAGAAACTTAAAGGTGGTGGCTGACTAGGTGTAGAAGTAAGACAATCCACAAGTTTCCTCTGACATTGGATTCTGGTGATGAAGGTGCTGTGAGCTGAAAACAGGGGGAGTGGCAGGTCTGGAGTGGAGTTCAGATTTGCATGTTATTTAATATAAAAATATAAGGTGCAATTAAAGTGTGGATTCTGGGCCTCCCTGGTGGCGCAGGTGGTTGAGTGCCACACTGTGAAGCTGTCCACAGCCTCTGCAGTGCGGGTTCGATCCCGGCCGGCCGGTGAGAATCCCACATGGCGAAGCAGACCTCTCCTGTCTCGCCCACTGCTCCCCTCAGCAGTGTATTTCAGCGGATCTACCTGTTCTGTTCCCTACTCTGTCTCCGGTGAATCCTCTCACCCTCCCACACATCTGGCCTGTACCCCAGTTCTTGTATAAAAATAAATCTTTAAAAAAAAATAAAGTGTGGATTCTGGCTACAATTCAAAATAAATACTTTCAAATACTTTGAAATACAGGGCTTGAGTGTGGGGCTGTGATAAGCAGTTAGATTAATAAATTCTTTAGTTCTACCGAGATTTCGAGCTGGGGAAAGAGCCGGAAGTCCTGGTTTCACACCCCTAGAGAGGAGACAGGAAGATAGTGAGGTGCATTCCTGGACCTTCAAGATCTCAAGGCCTGATGGGCAAGGTACCCACCAAAGACAAAGAGGAGGAGGACTCAAAGCATCTCTGGAGCACTCAGCAGCACAGACACAAACTATGCTGAATGCGTCAAAAAGAGGATGCTGGGGGCCTCCCCGGTGGCACAGCGGTTGAGCGCTGGGTTGCAAAGCTGCCCGCGGCCTCTGTGGCGCCGGTTCGATCCCCGGCTGCTCCCTGGCTGCTCCCCGGCCACCGGAGGAGGGTCCCACATGGTGCGCAGACCTCTCCTGCCGCCCGCTGCTCCCCTCAGCAGTGTACTTCAGTCCTTCTGCCTGCTCTGCTTCCTGCTCTGGCTCTGGTGAATTCTCTCACCCTCCCGTACTTCTGACTGTACCCAGTGCATGTATAAACAAAACAAACAAACAAATAAATAAATAAAACATGCCTCTATAAAAAAAAAAAAAAAGAGGATGCTGGGAAGTGTTTCTTGCACAACTTACTTAGTCAGCTGCAGGTAAACTCTGAAAGACTTTGCACAATCTTTTTGTCATGTGGTAGTTAAGTGGGGTAACCCCATCTCAAGGACCATGGGAGAAATATCAGAACACCCTTGCCTAGTTCATTTTTATCTCATTCCCTTTTTAACTTTTTCTGTTTCATAATATATACCATATTTTGGTAGAGCAAAATACATAGTTTACGAATGAATATATATATATATAGATATCTGCTGTCTGTCTCCCTCCCTCCCTCCTGTGGAATATGTTCAAAACTTTTTAATCAATAGGTGACCATTATTCTATTTATCTAATAAAAATACATTTGAACCATATGTATATTACATAAAGCAATATACAAATATAAGGTGCAATTAAAATAAATACAAATTATTTATTTGGCTACAATTCAAAATAAATACTTTCAAATACTTTCAAATACATTTCAAAGTTTACCATGTCAAATCTAACTTCGTTTGACAGTTCTCTCCAATTAACTTTCCAAAGGATATTATTTCAAACCTTACATTTACTTTACTGATTTGAAATGTACTAAGAATAAACATTCTCTGAAATGGAAGACGCATTCATATATATATATATATATATATATATATATATATATATATATATAAAAAATACATATATTAAAGTGGTTTTAAAAAATTCCTAAGAAAAATAGGTCACTTAATATGGGCCAATTCTCAGGAAAATTAGTATTTAACCACTTCTATTATGTCC